TTATTTATTATTCAACTGTCAAGCTACGGAGGCCTGGATGTATCAACAAACTCTGATTTTCCACAGGAGGAAGAAGTCCTACTCAGACCCGGAACAAAGTTTACAGTTGATAGCGTTGCCTATAACGCGCACAACAGCAAACACAATATTCATCTGAAGGTAATCAATCACACATCTAAAGTACAAGACGCATTCAACCAACTTACCGATCAATCAATCGCAGACTTAGATGACAAACAATTCGACAGCCGTGATGCAGAACTCGTAGCATATAAACTACAACAGAATCATACCATTATCACCCTTAGTCTTGGAAAAAATAGCATAGGTCCTGAAGGAGCTCAGGCAATCGCCTATCCGCTCAAACACAATCACACACTTACCACTCTTAATCTGTACGATAACGATATAGGTGACCAAGGAGCCGAAGCAATTGCGGATGCACTAAAATCCAATCAGACTTTAACCCGTCTTTTTCTGCGATTTAACCACATAACTGATCAAGGAGCTCAAGCAATTGCTGATGCGTTAAAACACAATAAGACTCTCACCACCCTTGATGTTGCATATAACTCAATATTTAATCAAGGAGCTCAAGCAATCGCGGATGCACTTAAACACAATCAGACGCTAACCACTCTTGGTTTTGACTCACACTTGGCCCAATTTGAAGCAGCTCAAGCAATCGCTGATGCACTGGAATACAATCGGACTCTCACCACCCTTGATCTTACACATAATAACACAGCTGATGAAGAAGCACTAGGGATAGCTGATGCATCTAAATACAATGAGACAAACACCAATGCTCAGCTCCAATGTAATCAGACTGCTACCGCTCTTAATGTTGAACGTAGGTACATGGCTGCTGAAGGAGCTCAAGCGACCGCTGATGCACTTAAACACAATCAGACTCTCACCACTCTTAATCTTCGATACAACAACACAGCTGATCCAGAAGATCAAGCAATCGCTGATACCAGAAAAGAGACTGAGACCCCCGCGAGTCTTCCAGTATCAAGCAATAGAGCATCACATAAAGCAATCCAAGTAATCGACAGTGCACTGGAACATGATCAGACTACCAAGACTCTTAATCCTGGAAACAACAACATACCTGATCAAAGAGTTAATGCAATCGCTGATGCACCGAACGACAATCCGACTCTCAGCACTATTAATCATCGATATTACAACATAGTTCGTGATGGTCCTAAAACAATCGCTCATGCAGTGCAACGCAGTCAGATGCTCAAAGCTCTTAATCTTGGATATACAAACAGGAGTGATCAAGGAGCTCAAGCAATTGCTGATGCACTGAAGGACAATCACACTCTCACCACTCTTGATCTTTCATCTAACGAGGTGACTGCTGAAGGAGCTCAAGCAATCGCCGATGCGCTGAAGCACAATCAGACTCTCACAACTCTTGGTCTTGGATACAACAACATTGATGTTCAAGGCGCTCAAGCGATCGCTGATGCACTGAAGCACAATCGGACTCTCACCACTCTTAATATTGCACATAACAATATAGCTGATGAAGGAGCTATGGCGATGGTTGATGCACTCCAACAGAATGAGACTCTAACTCATGTTGATCTTGGGGAGAACAATATAAGCTTTGAGGGAGTCGAATTCATGGGTGTTGCACTGAAACACAATCAGACTCTCATCGCTCTTAATCTAGAATGTAACGCGGTAGGTGCTGAAGGAACTGAAGCAATCGCTGCTGCGCTAAAGTTCAATCATACTCTCACCACTTTAGATCTATCCACAGACCGAATAACTTCTGAAGGAGCTCAAGCAATCGCTGATGCGCTGAAGCACAATCAGACTCTCACCACTCTTGGTCTTGGATACAACAACATTGGTGATCAAGGCGCTCAAGCGATCGCTGATGCGCTGAAGCACAATCGGACTCTCACCACTCTTAATGTTGGACATAACAACATATCTGTTCAAGGAGCAGAAGCAATCGCTCATGCACTTAGACGCAACAAAACTCTCAGCGCTCTCAATCTTCGATCTAACGAAATTGGTGATCAAGGATCTCAAACAATCTGTGATGGACTTAAACACAATCGGACTCTCAGCATTCTTAATCTTGAACATAACCGAATTGGTCATCAAGGTGCTGAGTCAATTGCTGATGCACTGAAAGATAATCAGACTCTCACTTGTCTTCTTCTTAAATATAACAGCGTAGCTGATAAAGGAGCTCAGTCAATCGGTTATGCACTGAAGTACAATTACACTCTCACCACTCTTGATCTTTCATCTACCCAAGTGGCTGCTGAAGGAGCTGAAACAATCGCTGATGGATTGAAACACAATCAGACTCTCATGACGCTTAATCTTGGATACAACAACATAGCTGATAAAGGAGCTCAATCAATCGCTGATGCACTGAAGAAAAATCACACTCTCACCACTCTTGATCTTTCATGTATCGAGGTGGCTGCTGAAGGAGCTGAAAGAATAGCTGATGGACTGAAACATAATCGGACTCTCACGACTCTTTGTCTTGAAAATAATAGCATAGGTGGTCAAGGAGCTCAAGCCATAGCTGATGCTCTGAAACACAATCACACTCTCACCACTCTTTACCTTCGAAGTAACGAGCTAGCTGTTGTAGGGGCTCAAGCCATGGCTGATGCACTGAAATATAATCAGACTCTCACCACTCTTAATCTTATATTGAACCATATAGCTGATGAAGGAGCTCAAGCAATCGCTGATGCCCTGAAGCACAATCAGACTCTCATCACTCTTGGGCTTGGATATAACAACATTGGTGATCAAGGCGCTCAAGCGATCGCTGATGCACTGAAGCACAATCAGACTCTCACTACTCTTTATCTTGAATTCAACAACATTGGTGATCAAGGCGCTCAAGCGATCGCTGATGCACTGAAGCACAATCGGACTCTCACTACTCTTGTTCTTCAGTGTAACAAGGTATCTGATCAAATAGCCGAAGCAATCGCTGATGCACTGGAACACAATGAGACGCTCACGAATCGTAATGTTACATAAAGCAACATAGCGGCTGAAGAACAGAGCTCCGTATGGACTCAAATTTTTGAGTCCAGCCCAGTCCATGGACTAAAAAAGTCTAGTCCAGTCCAGTCCGAGTCCATGAAATCCAAAAAATCTGAGTCCAGTCCATACGGAGCTCTGCTAAAGAAGCCTAAATAATCGCTGGTGTGAATAATTCTGTAGACTTATTCGATGCATAGTTCAGCTTTTCTCTTGCATGAACGTTTTAGTGGATGAAATAAAAAAGTACTTTTAAGCTGTTTTCATTTCATTTTAATACTTCGCACAATTTCTCATGTCATTATTCACTTTAATATGTGCGAAAAATTGAGGAAAAGTTCAGAGAATGAGCTGGGATCCTTCGAAGTTGCTGTGGAGATCGTCGGCTAGCGTTCGTTTGTCAAGGTCAAAGGACAACGTCTTAAATTGAGATATGATGCCAGGTGATCTAGTTTTTTCTTATATGCTTAGATTTTCTCATGTAAAATATTTTGCGAGTGGTTTTTGCTCTGTACATAATCACGACGAACGAGATTGTTGGGCAAAAACGGCGCATAGTAGTCACAAGCTCACTTACACAAGACCATTTTATGATAGTGCTCGTGGGATTGGACGCAATATCATTTGTGCGAATGATGAATCCTTGGCGAAATAGTATCGATGCATCAGGTGTTCCGGTTCGTTTAAGCGAGCAACCATTAACAGTATCAGCGTTTGGTTCTTATACGACTAGCGATCAATTCTCCTATGCAACAACAGCGAAACCAGAAGATAATATATATATAAACCGAATCTAAACATTTATTCGGTGTTAATGAACAACAAGAATCATGATTATCCGATGATGGAGAAGAGAATCGTCGATCAACCGATGCCGAAATAAGGACTTCTTTCCCTACTGCGAATAGCGCGAATAGCGATACAAGCGAACAAACGACAACTAGATTGTGAAAAGTGTTAGTTAATATAAGACAGCGCCGGTGATAAGATTATGGTTATTCAACTTTTATTCAGGAATTATCCAGTTTTCTGATTTTGTCCGCATAACATATTATTGATAAGAAACATACTATAGACTGGGACGGATTCAAAGTTTTACTAACAGACAGTAATCCATATCGACTATTGATTAAAGAATCTTTAGTAATTTTAAGTCATCAACCAAAATTAAACCGTACCGTTCATTCAGTACCTCTTTTTGTCTTTCCTAACGGAATTTCAAAAAATCTCATCCCAGATCCAGGTGGCTAATACTTTTCATCATAGCAGCATGGTAATCTATTTTATTACTCTCTCTTTAGGTGTTAGTCCGTTTTATACTTTCTACATGTATGCATTAAGTACAAAATTCAACTCTCTCCTCTCTCCTCTCTTCTCTATTTTTATTTTGTGAAACAATCTCTCGTTTTACTTGTTCCAAAGACGAAATCGTTCTCTTACTTCATTGTTATCTGGTAAAAATTTTCTTCTTTCATTCTCTCTCCTCATTTTCCTTTCGTCTATCGGTACTGTACATCTAAATTCCACTTTGAACTAGTCCAAAATCTAATTTTACTTTCGCCTAGAGTTGCTTTAGGCCAAAGTGAAATTTCAGTATGGACTAGTCCAAAGTAAAGCGTAATAAAGTATCAATCAGATGCAACGTTGGACTGAAAACGTCAGGCCAGTCTAAGATTGGACTAGTCTAAAGCACAATTTAGAATTAATCAGGTCAATGTCAAATCAGAATGATAATGACAAGAATATTTAGTTCAAAGATTTGCTTACAGCGTTACTTGGAGAAGCAGTAGATCCGAGGGTGTTGCATCTTTGAGGTTTTCGATCATCCAAATCAAGTTCCCCCCATAATATGTTTTTCAGTATATCAGTAGACAGTTTAGCCATCTGTTTCAATATTTTCTCTCGTGGTTAAAAAGAATTTTCGATTTTTGCTTTCTTACCCTAGTGAATGTACTCATATGTGAGTTCCAAACAGCTCAAATAGTTTTACCTAAAGTACCAAAATGAATACTAACGAAATTTTTTGCGATCACACACTCGTGGAGTACTCAAATGAGTACTCATAAAGTATAGATCAGAACTAAATGCTTAAAACAATCAACCTAAGTACTTATTTTAGTACTTACAGATTTATGATGTTTAATAGAGATATACTTCAAATGATGTTTTACATTCCTGAACTCTTCCTTCTTTAGGCGTTAAAATAGATGCTGTACCTGGACGTTTGAATCAGTTTATTTTTAGGATTTTATTAAATTCAGTTATTCATGGTCAGTGTTCTGAGATTTGTGGGGTTAATCATTCTTTTATACCAATTGTAGTAGAGTCTGTTTCTTTATTAGATTTTAGTAGGTGTTAATATAGCTTATTTAAAGTTTTAGTTTTTTAGGCTAAAGAATTGTTAACACATAATAAATCCTTTTCATTTATTAAAGTTAAGTTCTTGACCGTTTTTTTTCGCTATTGTAGTAATGTTATTAATAAATAATAATTATTACCATATTTATGTACACGCCTTGTGTTTTTACAAGTATGACTGCTAAAAACATATCTTTATTTATATCTCTGCAATACAAACTTTCTCGCCTAACGTTACAGATGAAAGTCCTAGAAGTTAATCTAAACATTTATTAGAGATCAATCGCCTAGGCATTATAGATCTCGATTCCCAATATAGTGAACACAAAGAGCGAACAAGAGAGAATGATAAAATGGATATGTAAAAGACAGAAGTAACAAATATGGTGTGTATATGTGTGAAGGAAGCGAAAAAACAAATATAATCAAAATTGTATCTAAATGAACAGTGACTATCAGAGCTCCGTGTGGGCTGGACTGAGTCCATAGTCCAGTCCAGTCCATGTGGACTGGACTGGACTAGACTTTTTTAGTCCATGGACTGGACTGGACTCAAAAATTTGAGTTCATACGGAGCTCTGGTGACTATATGTATAAGCATACTGTGAATGACAGCTACAACATCAAGTATTATCAAATCTTGATGTGTCTACTATGAAATCAGAAACAGTATAATATATTTTCTTCAACTCGGATATAGAGACTTTGCGGAGATCTCTATGTCTCATCAAAAGATGTTAATAGTCACATTAGTGTTCG